TTGCACACTTTATTTTTATTACCAGGAACTACAAAACCCTTAGGTTGTTCTATGTAAATCTCTTCCTCCAACTCTCCATTTAAGAAAGATGTTTTAACATCCATTTGATGGATTTCGAGACCATACACGGCCACTAGTGCCACTAACACCCTAGTAGATGTTATCCTCGTTACTGGCGAGTAAGTGGCAAAGTAATCAAGGCCTTCCTTTTGTCTATAACCTTTGACAACAAGTCTTGCATTATATTTATCAATAGTGCCATCAACTTTCATTTTCCGTTTAAAGATCCATTTCGAACCTAAAGGCTTATTTCTTAGAGTTTGATCAACCAATTCCCATGTATGGTTATCCAAAATTGATTGAATCTCACTATTGACTGTTTCTTTCCAAAACGCTGAATCAGAAGATGAAATAGCTGCTTTAAAAGTTTGAGGCTCATTTTCAAGCAAGAATGTCACAAAATCTGGTCCAAAGGAAGTAGATGTTCTTTGACGTTTGCTACGCCTTGGATCTTCTACACTTGGCATAACACTTCATAAAATCTCAAGAGAGATTCAGGTACCTGAAAATATGAATGAAGAGATCCCTATGGCATGTCTTTATGAAAATAAAGCTGGAACCGATATAAAATATTCGTCGACGACATCTATGATAGCGCTAAATATATATATGAGGATCTTAAGTATGGAGAAACAATTCTAATAGAATTGGTTTCATATGAAAGACATGTAGTTTTGAACATGTAGTTCAAACACTTGAAAGTATAAAGTAAATGGTATGTGCAATCAGTTTTAGCATGACATGAAAAGTTGATATGCATCTAAAGTCTATTATATGGCTTATATGACTTAACTTATATGACAATCCATGAAGGATTTAAGTTGCTTGAAGCATATACACTTCTTGATCTTGAAGTACTACATCCTCGGTGCAATTTGTGCACAAATGTATCTTGCTATAACTATATGCATGATAATGTGATAGTAAGAGTTTTACCTCTATGTGAAGATATTGAACTGACGATTCCAACAAGATCATATGAAGACAATACATCTATTAGGGATGATGATTTCAAGGTGAAACAAATTCGTTCAAGTTAATATGACTGATTTGTTTATCAAATCTCTACCAACGATCTTTTGAAGATGGTGCACAAGATTGGAATGCAAATGCTTAAGGATATGAATTGATGCTCTCATCAGGGGGAGTTAATGCGCATTGCACTCTTTTTCCCTTACAAGGTTTTGTCCCACTGGGTTTTCCTTGCAAGGTTTTTAACGAGGCAACCAAAAGGCGTATTGTTAGATATGTGTACTCTTTTTCCTTTTCTAGAAATTTTTTTCCCATTGGGTTTTATTTCAGTTAAGGTTTTAACGAGACATTATCTGTTAAATAGACATTCAAGGGGGAGTGTTATAAATAGAATTGTATTTATGGTGAATGTCTATATTTAGAGAGATTTTAGGATTTTTTACTTGGTGGCTAAGTCACTCTCTCCCTATAAATAGAGGGTTCTATTCTATTGTAATTGATCCCAAATCAATAAGAATTCTCTCTCCCTACTTTTCTCTCCAATACTCTTCTTCTTCTTTTATTGTTTCATAACAATTTCAAAATATAAGTGATTGTAATGAAACAATAAAAATAGAAGAACAATATTGCAGAGAAAGAGAGAGCGGAAATTCTTATTGATTTGGGATGAATTACAATAGAATAGAACCCTCTATTTATAGGGAGAGGGTGACTTAGCCACCAAGTAATAAATCCTAGAATCTCTCTAAATATAGACATTCACCATAAATACAATTCTATTTATAACACTCCCCTTGAATGTCTATTCAACAGATAATGTGCCTCGTTAAAACCTTAACTAAAATAAAACCCAGTGGGAAAAAAATTCTAGTAAAGGAAAAAGAGTACACATATCTAACAATACGCCTTTTGGTTGCCTCGTTAAAAACCTTGCAAGGAAAACCCAGTGGGACAAAACCTTGTAAAGGAAAAAGAGTACAACGCGTATTAACTCCCCCTCATGAGAGCATCACTTTCACATCCTTAAGCATTTGCATTCCAATCTTGTGCACCATCTTCAAAAGATCTTTGGTAGATATTTGATAAACAAATCAGCCATATTAACTTGAATGAATATATTGCACCTTGAAATCATCATTCTTGATAGAGGTGAATTGTCTTCATATGATCTTGTTGGAATCGTCAGTTCAATATCTTCACATAGAGGCGAAAACTCTTGCTATCATATTATCATGCCTATAGTTATAGCAAGATACATATGTGCACAAATTGCATTTAGGATGTGGTACTTTAGGACAAAGAATTATATATGCTTTAAGCAATTTAAATCCTTCAGGGATTGTTACTTTCAAATGTTTGAATTACATGTTCAAAACTACATGTCTTTCATATGAAACCAATTCTATTTGAATTGTTTCTTCAGACTTAAGATCCTCATATATATATTTAGCGCTATTATAGATGTCGTCGGCGAACATTTTATATCGGTTCCAACCTCCTTATTTTTCATAAAGACATAACATAGAGATCTCTTCATTTATATTTTCAGGTACCTGAATCTCTCCTGAGAATTTATGAAGTGTTATGTCATGTGATCTTCTAGATCACTTGCCTCCTTTGTTATGATCATTTAGATCATGTGCTCATCTTCTTTATCAAGAAGTTTATTTGAAACCCATTTGTCTATACACATCAAGCGTACCATAGACTTTGTCCTTTTGGGACTTAATAGGAGCATTTGCAATGAGAATATAGTTACTTTCTTTGGGTCAGCAAATGCATCTGGCATGCTTTGCAATAAATTGTACATGAATTATCCTTTTCTGAACTTCAAGTTCATATTATTTTATTCGGGGATCTAGATGTATAAATGATAATTCATTCCATGTAACTTTTTCTCAACTATTGTATCTTGTCTCCCCCTCATGTTAGAAAAACTAACTTGTTTCCTCAACTTTGAGAATTCATCTTTGTGCGTTATGGTGTTAATCAAAATATACACCGCACATCAATAATGATGAGATGGAATTATTTGGTTTCTGACCCTGAAACCACTTGTGAGGGGAGAACGTAATATACTTTCGTATATAACCTATATCAAACTGATATAGATAACTTTGTTCTCATAAGCAATAGTTTAGCTATTAAGTGGAGGCACTCAATAAATCATCTTGCTAAACCAACTGTGATGTAAATCAACTTATCAAGATGAACTTCTTGAATAGAAAATCTGGAAATTATGCTCGAAATTAAATTATCGAGCAAGTTACCTCGCAAAACACCATGTTGCGAGTTATTAATAATCGCATATGTAACCATCTCATAGATGCATCTTATGTGGTATACATGGTAGGTGAATGGGCCCATATTCACCTTTGATATTTCCAGCATTCATGGGATTCAATCCCAATTTTAGTTGATCTATTAATTAATGAGAACAAGCAATACAAGAGAATTCGTAAAGTACTTTCTAGTTCTTTAATATTTACCCATGTGAATTCTCTTTTACTTTTGCAGATCATACTTAAATTGATATGGGTAAACCAATTATGCCAACTGAATAAATTATCAATATTGATAAACTTTATATTACACCATGACGTGTGCAATTATCATTAAACTCCAAGTTTATTATGATATGAGTTTTTATATCAATAAACATCCACTTTATTGTGGTATTCTTTTATTTGTGCAGTACAAACTGGAGAATAAAGCGGGTAGTTTTTCACATACATATTACCCCGCTACAAGTTGTAGTAATAGAAGATATTAAATCTTTCCTTTATTTATAGTCTCAGTATGACCAACCGCTTTCGCGAATACTTTAAAAACTGAATAAGTTTCTTTGAGACTTACTACAACACAATACCTTATTGGTAGTCAATTGTGTTTCTCCAAAATAGTATAATTGGCTCTTGCAGAGTTCTCAATTAATTTTGTAGTACCATATATTTATCAACTTCCATATGGTGAATATCTCTTTTAAAGAGAAAGGTATACCATTATAGTCATGGTCAAAATTATATGCAAGATATGTTTCTTGCATTAATGTTATATTTAATAATCACATTACCAAAATATTTTGGCGTACAATAGTTACGTAACCAATGACCATTCATGCCATAATAACGACATTGTTTTCTTATATCATCTCAAACCTCCTTTAGAGGTGAGTGTGGTATATTCACTACCACTAGCACGTTCATATTCTTCCAAGAATGAATATGTATTTATAAATCAGATGTTGTCACATTCACATCATGAATGGACCATAATCATCTGTATGTGCTTTATAAAATCTCATGTCAAATCAATGACAAATATTACATTCACAAAGTGAAAGATTATTTTGAGAATCCTTATTATTCTCCTTATCACAATGATGACGATTATAATTTCTTCTATTGCCACGTCCACATCCATTGATACATTCATATTAGTAATTTTGTCTTCTTTCAGACTTATCACATACTGCTATCACATTCTCTTAAGGGAATGAGAATGGAGCAAATTCAATGGGACGTGTTTTCAATAGTTTTCCCACAATCATACATGAATTTCATCATGGCAAGGCATAAAAATTTTATCACTTCAGGTGGTTGTAATTTCTTACAAACTCCATTAGAGTTATAATCAAACTTTGTTGTCTTTGCTTGTATATAAAATCAAAGTATAGAATAAAAGAGAAAAATACGGTAAAATACTTACCTTAAATCCAAAATTTAATCATGAAGGAAGTTCATAGAACTATTGACAATCATTATGCTCAATCCCAAAGCTTCTACTCAATTGGTTAGAGTCTCGTGCTGATAACGTGTAATGAAACAATAAAAATAGAAGAACAATATTGCAGAGAAAGAGAGAGGGGAAATTCTTATTGATTTGGGATGAATTACAATAGAATAGAACCCTCTATTTATAGGGAGATGGTGACTTAGCCACCAAGTAATAAACCCTAGAATCTCTCTAAATATAAACATTCACCATAAATACAATTCTATTTATAACATGGTTTTTGATCCTTTTCTTATTCCCAAACTGAGTTACACTCCTATTAGTACAAATCTAATAGAGTATAAAGCACTCCAATTACTCGGATTAATGTTAAGAAATAAATGACCCAACATTTAATCCATTTTTCTCATTAAATTGGGATTCAACAGAAAATTAAAAGAAAAACCGCAACGGTTCCCCAATACGAACACGCCGATATGCACCATCGGAAAGCGGAAGTCGACATCAGAGGAACACAGAAACGGCGGCCACGTTTCTACAACTTCTCTCATTCCATCTATTTTCCTTCTTTATACACTGAATCATGGAAGATATTACTCTCAATCAAGTAAAGTATCTCAACTTTGTAATTTATCTTCCAAGTTTCACATGTAAGTATATAAAAGGTAGTAACTCCATTCAATTGACCCGATCAACGCCCCATTAAATCAAGCACCATATTGATTCTCTTGGATTCTTTAGTCTTTGCGCATTAATGAGTTGTTGGGAATCAAACATGGAAGTCAGAATTAGCCATCCAGAAATTAATGCTGCAATGAAATTTTTAGTTGATGGATACTCCTACCTATTTAATATTTATGACTGTCCACTCATCTCTTTGTTTTCTTTCAGATTTTCGTTATTATAGTCCAAGAAGGGCAGGTTTTTTCTAGATGCGTGTAGAAGTATAAAAGACGGAGGTCAACAGATGCTTCAGTAACCCGTAGCAATAAGATAATCGACACATAATGTGAGCACGTGATTTTTGTCTCGCTTGAATTACTCTTATAGAATTTTTAGAATTAAGATTTTTCTTTTATTATTTGAATTTTAGGATTTAATTGCGTAATTTTGTGTGTGTTTTTCATTTGTATGTGCATGATAATTCATAAAAAATACAAAAATATACATTGCATCTGCATTTAGGACTTGATTTTACATATTTTTAGATTAATTAGTAATTAGGGTTTTACAAAATAGAAAAAAAAATCTCAAAAAATAATTTATTTGTGCATTGCTTAATTCTTAGTTTCGAATTTCATTAGTTTTCCTTAATTTGGTAGTTAATTAATTGTGTTTAATATAGTTGGGTAGGTTAATTTAGGTTTTTAGTTCAATTGGAAAAGAAAAGAAAGAATTAAATAAAGGAAAATTTGGTCTTCTTTAATAAGAAAATTGATTTGGGCCAAACCACCCCTTAGACCCGTCCAAAACACCCCTTTCGCCCAGCCCAAACCCATTCCTTAACCCGGCCCAGACCCCTCATCGCCAAAACGACCCCGTTTTCCCCTGACCCATCCTGGTCGTTCAAACATCCACCATTCAACGGTTGGAAATCCCCCCCCCCCCCCCCATTACATTAATATGTCCAAACAACCTTCAGAGACGGGTCAGTTCAGTCTCCAACATCTCTCATCTCTTTCATCTCTCTCACATATCAACCCTAATGCAAACCTAATCCACCATTTTCACAGGCAACAAGACTCCGAACCAGACCAAAACTTCACCTCACAATTCCTAGATTCCCCTCATCTTTGTCCCACCATCAATTT